AGGGTAAAACTGTAGGAAAAAGGAACCGAGTTCTTAATGTCGGAGATGATTCCTGTGGGAAATCAGGCTGCTTTTCAGGCATGATTTGAAACGCCGCTGCCTCCCAAAGTCAGCACCGGTGGGGTGGGGGTGCGGGTGTGGAGAGAATGCCATTTATAAAGCAATCAGCGCTTCTCCAGAGTCCCCCATCACTCAGAATTATTTTCTGAAATTTGGCCTCTGTTCCTCACTCTGGAGGGAAGGCAATCCGGGCTCCCAGCTTCCAATCAAGCAAATCAGGAGGACTGGGGCGAGCCACACAAAGGGAGAGGGGCTCCCGCATTGTTCCGCACAGCTGGAGCTGAGGAAAATCATTTCCACTCTGCTCGGGCTGGAGCCCGAGGAAGCCTCATCAGAAGCCCCATTCATCTCACTTCGTACTTTTAAACTTTAAAACACGTATTTATGTGCCTCAAGTCGCTCGTGAACCACCGCTTGTCAAACAGTTCTGGGCTGCTGGAAGAGGTACATGTCCTGGGACTTTCAGAAACAGTTTCATTGCCGGCCTCTCTCTCTTCCCGTTTCTTCCATGTGCTGCCATGAGATGAATATTCCTAAAAAGCTCTCAACACATCCTGTTTGAGAAACACGGGTTGATCCTGTAAGACCGGGGAAAGCTCTCTGTAGGTGAGGCCTCAGCTTTGCCCCAAGCCCCTTACCCTCCCCCTTCCAGCTGGTTGTCGCTGACAGGCTGCAAATGCAAGGTGATAAATGGCTGTCATTTTCCTCCTCCCTACTTCAGCATCTGCAGGCAGCTAAACACAGCTCTTCCTTTAGAGAGAAATGACTGCTCCCCAAATCCTCCACATGGTAGGGTGAGCTGACCTGGACGTGTGCTTCCAGGCCTGTCCGTGAAGGATCAGGGATTGTTTTATGGTTGGGAGAAAAAAAAAAAAAAAGAAAAAGAAAAAGAAAAAGACCCATCTGCTTATTTTTATTACTCTTTGAGCTAAAATGACTTTCCTATTTTCTTTTTTTTGTTCCTAAATTTTATTTATGAATTAATACAACAAAACATTCTAGACCAACGTGTCTTAATCCTCCTGCTCCTGCTCCTCTTCATCCTGGTTAATCTAAGTAATGAAGCTCATAGCTTTCTTTGCTGTTGGCGACAACACACAACCAGTCTGGGAGACTGCTCTTCTTCAAATGTTTTTTGGTGAGATATTTCAAATACCTTTTGGAGAAAGGCACCTAGGAAGAGACAGTGATCTTGCCAAGATTCCCAGCTTTCAGTTCACCTCGATTCTCTCCTGGAGAAACTGCTTGAAACAGCATCGTGATTCCATCTTCTACAGGGTGGGTGTGGTCAAGGGTGAGCTTCAAAACCTGCTTCTCTTTTTTTGTTTGTTTTTTGCCCCCCTTCGCCACAAGCTTTTTCACGGGCACCATGGTGGCAGAGGCAGAAAAGCCACTTTCCTGTTTTCTAAAAGAATGTATAGAGGCTGCAATAACAGGCTGCTTGGTGAAGTGCTTGCCTTGTAAGCACAAGGACCCAACCAAGTTCAATCCCCAGCACTGATGGGAAAGCCAGGTGTGGTGGTGCACACTTGCTGTCTGAGAGCCAGGGAGGTGGGGACAGGTAGGTCCCTGGGGCTCACTGTCCAGCCAGCCATGCTTACTAGGTGAGTCTTAGGCCAAGTGAGAGACCCTATTTACAAACAAAATGGGTGGCTCCTATGGAAGGACACCCACAGTTGACCTCTCCTCCATACACAACCATACACATGTGTATGTACATGTACACCTGCACACATTGCATTCCTCCCACACATATATGTGCCTACACTTAACACATGTGCACATATACACACATAAATTAACATTTTATAAGGGTATTAAAAAATCACTATAGCTGGCTGATGGCTGGTTTGGGATAGGACAGCCAACTAAACCAAGGAGCAGGAACTCTGGACTATACCTGGCTCTGGCTGAAGGAGGTGGATCTGAGGAAGAATGGCCACCCGGAATGGCTTACGGCAGCCATGTGTGACTGGATAGAAGTTACAGGAGAACGAAGAGTCCAAGGCGGGAGAAGGCATGTGGTTTGATCCTGCCAGCGTGAGTCTCTTATCACTCCAATAGCAGGGAGCGTGGGTGCAGACACCGGCAGAGATGCCTACGCCTGCCAGCATAGGCTTCCCCCTTCTGAGAAGACCCCACGCTCCCCAGCCTTCATCTTCCAGCTTTCCTCTGCACAGATCTGAAACACCTTCCCAGGCAGGTGGCCACCAGCAGCCTTCCCAGGCAAGCACTTACCCAGTTTAATGCACCCCATGTATTGCTTGTCTTCTTGCAGTTCCAGCTGGAGTCCTGGTATTGGCACTCCTGAGTTAGCCTTTTGTCTAGCTCTAACCTGCACTTCCCTTAAGTTCAAACGTGGGTCATGCTGAGGGCTAACCAGGAACTTTCTCAACCTGAATGTCGTAATAAGCCACAGGCAGCAAGTTTTAAAGCAGGAAACATTGGTGTAGGCCGAGTCAGTGTGACGGATACGGAGTTTACAGATGCTGGGAGAGGCTGAGGCAGCAATGGCATGAGTGAAGGGAAATGAAACTCAGAAATAAAAATGACCAGTCAAGGCCATACAGCCACTCAGAGGCAGAGGCAGGAATCCACCCCAGCTCTGATGTACCTACGCATCCATGTTCTTCCCACAACGTGGCACTCCCAGCCACCTTCATAAGATGCCCAGTTCTGTATCTCCTGACCTCTCCAGAACCTTCTACTGCCTACAGTGTATATATATCTTATACACACTCAAAACCATTTTTCACCCATTAATTTTTCATGTGTGCAGGTGCACATGTGGAGGTCAGAGGTCAACATCCAGTGTTTTTCCTCACGAGCCATCCACCTTTTTAAAAGAAAAAAAAATTACGTGTTAAGTGTTTTGCCTGCACTTATGTGTATATGTGTACTATGTGACCCCCTTCGGAACTAGTTACCAGTGATTGTGAGCTGCCACACGAGTCTTCAGGTGCCCTTGAGTGGTAAGCCCCCACTCCTGTCTCCACCTTGCTGTTTTTGAGACAAGCATGATGGAATTTACCAAGCAGGCTAGGCTAGCTGGCTTTTCTGTGGGTCTGGGGGATTGAACTCGGGTCCCCACACTCAGAAGGCAAGTGTGCTATTAACAAACTGTTTACCCACCATCTCACTCTCACCCTTCAGTTTATTGCCATGTGTCAGAGGACAACCCTATGGTCTGTTCTCTCCTTGTATCTTTACTCGGGATCCGGGATTGAGTTTAAGTTGTCACAAGCACCTTCACCAGCCGGGCATCTCACCAGTTCTTTTCCTGTTTTTGTTTGTTTCTTTATTTTTTGAGATGGGGTCTTATATGTCTCAGGATGCCCTAAAAACTCTGTAGCTGAGGGTGGCCATGCACTCCTGACTCTGCCCCCACCCCCACCACAACGCCTGGCATCACTGTCTGCCCAGTGTACTGGTGCTAGTACACGATGAAGCAGAGGAGCTCCTCCCACCTCAGCAAGCTGGAAGAGGGGAAGGACTGCTGATGGACACCCATGCTAACAAGGACTACTCTGAGTCAGCTGGGCAGGTCCAACATTAAAGGCACACTAATTAGTTTTTTCTTTCTTTCTTTCTTTCTTTTTAAATCAAGTGCAACAATCTGCTGGAATCAGAAAGCAGCTCAGCCTATTTTAACTCTTTGTGGGGGAGAAGCAAGTCTGGAGCACAGTAGCAATCCCTGCTGCATTCCCTATTAGCACCCCTCCGCCACTAACCAGCTATGTAATGCTCTGTAAAACATGCTACCTTGCCAAACCCATTCTCTCATCTGTCAGAGGCTAGAGACTAAAGAAGCCAATCACTCTGTCCTGGTGGAGCCGGGAACAAAGCCATCCCAGAACTTCACAACCAGAAGAGAGCCAAGTGATAGCATGTGCTGCCACAGGCTCCTAGCTCCGGGTCCCAGGTGAAATCTCGGGAGTTGTGCAGTTCTGTGACGTCAGCTAAACGGCACCTGAGATGATGCGGTGCCCCCACAGTGGCAGAGGAAGAGCAGGAGCATATCTTTGAAGAGCCAGTCTTCATTTCATCAGATGCCTGGAGAGGCCAGAGAGGAAGCCCATGAGGACTCACCTGAAGAGCGGTGGCCGTCAAGACCCGAGGGAGCTGGACATCCCCTGCCCTTGCACAGCAGTGACCGTGGAACTAGCTGCAGCCCCTCAACCTAGTTCCCCCTCATGCCAATGAAGTGCTGGAGCTTGAAGATTAGCCTCACCACTCATAGTTACCTGGCTGTTGCCTAGAAGGGCTTTTGTCAATCCATCCCCTTGGCCACAAACTCAAATGTGTACTGTGCTAAATTCCTCAGCTAGGAAGAAAACCAAGCATTTTTTTTTTTTTTTTTTCTCCTGCCTTTTCTACATAAATGGTAGTTGCAGGCTACACATGCCTGAGAAAGGGAGATTCCTGGTACATAGTACCCCAAGCAAAGGCAAGTCTGTACAGGAGACATGACAAAGCAATATTTGGCAACCTAATGAGTGAGTGGTGACAGCTCAACCCATCCATAACTCTAGTTCCAGGGGAATCCAACACTTCTGACACCCTCCAGCACCCAGCACACATATGGTGTACATACATACGTAGATACATATATACATGCAGGCAAAACACCCACACACAATAAATAAATGAAATTAAGTTGGGTGTGATGGTTCATGTCTGAAATCTTAATATTCAGGAACTTGAGGAAGGAGAATGTCATGAGTTCAAGGCCAGCCTGAGCTACCTAGAAGAGTTTCCAGAGAGCCAAGGCTACAGAGTAACAGTCTTAAAAGACCTGGGAAGCAGCAGAGGAAAGAGGAGTGACTCTTGCAAGCTGCCCTCTGATGAGTGACATGACTGACATGGCAAGTCCCATGCCCCGTAAGAAGTGTGAGGAAAAACTTCTCTCCTCCAAAAGTTAAGAAATCTCTCATTAAGAATTTTTAAAAATATTTATTGATCTTGAGTATGAGTGTTTTGCTCACATGTGTGTCTGTGTACCATGTGCAAGTCTGGTGCCTGTGGAGGTCAGAAGAGGGTGTTGGATCTCTTGGAACTGGAGTTACAGATAGATGATTTTGAGCTACCAGTAAGTGCTGAGAATCAAACTTGGGCCTGGAACACAGGTGTGTGTGTGTGTGTGTGTGTGTGTCGTGTGTAAAATGAGGCAGAGGGGCTGTACAGATAGTACACTAAAGAGTTAAGTTCTTAGTGTGTGTGTGTGTGGTGTGTAAAATGAGGCAGAGGGGCTGTACAGATAGTACACTAAAGAGTTAAGTTCTTTGTGTGTGTGTGTGTGTGTGTGTGTGTGTGTGTGGTGTGTAAAATGAGGCAGAGGGGCTGTACAGATAGTACACTAAAGAGTTAAGTTCTTAGAGCAGCCAGACAATATCATCTGAAAACACGAAGAGTGAAATATAAACACCAGTCAGCTACTTTCCTTCAATCCAATTTCTAAGCAGTTGTGATTGATCAATTTATACATTGATCAGCTGTCTAATCCACCTTCATCACCTCTCTGTGCTGCTGCAACCACCTCCTCCAGGGGTGGCTCAGCTCCAGTTCTGGTTGGCAGGGTCCGGCGGTCACTGTAGCTTCTGGAGTAGGTGGAGCACATTGGCGGCATACAGGTTCTGCTGCTCAGTGGGCCCCCGCAGCTGCACTGGGTGAAGGCTGGGGTGGGGGGCTGTGAACTGCTGCACAGGGCAGTACAGCTCATGCAGGAGAAGCCAGGTAGAGTCGGGGTCTACTTTCATCAGGCAGAGGAAGATGCTGTGGAGAGAGGATTGCATGAGGAGCAGGGAAGGAAGGAGCACTACTGCTCATGCCAGAGGCGGTTTACTGGACTGTGTGAAGGAACTGATCACAACATCAAGTCACTTCAAACAGCAGAGGGAACCCACTTTAGATCCTAAGACAGGACCATTAGGACAGTTTAAAGCCTAACAGAAACAGAGGCAAACAGCTTCCGACCCATTGTCATGGAGTAAAACAGTAATTAGTCCAGGGGGGCCACACTGACACAAAGCTCTCCAGGGTAAAGCTGGGGTCTGAGGGAATGGTAGGCCCAGCCTGCATCATCAGCCATGCCTAGGGACCTGGGCAAACCTCTTTTCTTCAAGGTCCTCATGTGCCTCTAGATGGACCTACCTGTTCTGGCCACTCAGAGCCACGGCTCCTGAGAGGTCTGGGTACAAGGGGCTCAGAATATGTGCTCTTCTGAGGCTTGCCCATACTGATGTTCTATACAAACACAACCTGGAGCTCCAGGGCCAGGGCCACAGCGTTACCAGGAATGAAATCCTTCACCTTGACCTGAACTTTGGCTATTATCTGTTCAACTCCTGTTTCTGAACCACCAGTCATGTGCCCAGGGCCACTGGACTGGATAGTCCCCTGTAAGCCTCACACACCTGACTGTTCAATCCCAGGGTAACCGATGCCCTCTGTGTGCTGGCCCCATCAGCTCACCCACTAACTTGCTGCTGGCGAGGCTGCTTTCCCAGTGCCCAGGCTGCCAGCCATTTCTCCTTCTCTCCAGACTCCTTCTGTACTTAGCTGTCTCACAGTGGCATGGATTGTGGCTGCTGGCTTTCCCTTGGCTCCGCATATTATAAGCAGTCAGAGAATACCTGCTGACTTACCAGGCTCTTGCTGCCTGAGGATTGGGAAGGATCTGGGAAAGTTCAGGAGGTCATCATCAAGGAAGAACAGGAATAGGGTGAATAAAACATATTATCCTTGTCACTAGCTATGGAGCCTTAAAAACTACATGTGGTCTGGCCTGTTTCTCCATTACTTCCCTTCTGTTTTTCTTTTGAGACAGGATCTCATGTAGCCCAGGCTGGGTTCAAACTCTCTATGTAGCTGAGGTTGGCCTTGATCTCCTGATTTTCCTGCCTCTACTTACCAAGTGCTGGTGAGTTCCTTTAGTATGATCACCTTTTTTCAGTTTTCTCATTTTACAGGGTTTTGCTAAGGTTTAAAACACAGATCAGTCCCTACCAACTCCTTTTAAACATTTTTTTTTACATTTATTTATTTTGTGTGTATTCCTGGATATGTGCATGCCATGTGTGGAGGCAGGGGACAACTTGCAGGAGTAGGTTCCTGATTTCTACCATGGGTCCTGGGATGGAACTCAGGTCATCAGGCTCCATGGCAAGTGCCTTTACCATCTTTCACCAGCCTCCGAGTATATTTTAAATTTATTTTTGACGTTAACATATACAGTAATGGGTTTTGTTATAGTTTTCACACATACATGACATTATATGTTGTTCTTGCCCATCTCTATGTGACCCTCCATTTACCAGCTAAAAATACCATCACTCCCACCCCAGTATTAGTGTACTCTACCACAGACTCAGCTAGTAGATTAAAGCACTTGAAAACAAAATTCCATTTGTACTGAACATACACAAGCTTTTTCCTTGTCATCACTCCCTGAACACAAGGTAACCAACATTCAATGCTTTACACTGTGTACCATGTACCCAGGTTGTGCAGACATGCTGTCATTTCACAAAGGAACCTGGTACCTATGGGGCCTGGAATCAATTCCTCCTGGGTGCCAAGGAACTACTATACAGATAGGAACAATTACCTCATTCTTGCCAATTATTTCTAGGGCCCTCTAGCATACTTTTAAGTGTTAAAGGAGAATAAAATGATTGCTAAATAAAACAACTTTTAGTTTTTATTTTCATTAATCTGCAAAACCTGTAGCATTGGGGGAGCTGGGCCTTACCCTGTGAAGTCAGTTTTCTTTCTTTCTTATGTGTGACAGACATATCCTGGGGGGAAGGGAGACTGTGTGTGCGTGCATCAAACATACGTGTATGTGTGAGTGTGCGCGTGTGAGTGTGTGTGAGCTCAGAATAATCTTGTTTATAACCTACACAGTGGTTGCTGAAGAAGTGATTATACTATTCTAATTCACCGTTTCCACTTCACTGCAGAAAAGAGATGGGCCTGCGTGGGAGACAATTTTTGTTTAAAAACAAAAATATCTTTGATAATTAGAGTGGTGAGGGAAATGATAAAAAACACATTAAAAAAAAAACTCACAAAAAATAAAACCCTGGGAAGCACATTTCTGTTTACACGTGACACTGTTGACAGTTTCCTTTGGTGCCAATGACTGTTAGAATGCAAATGATTTGATTCCCCCCTCCCCCCCTCTACTTCAAGAACTGGAACAATTTCTCAAGCTGCAGCTGCTCTTCCTTCAAGGAATATTTTTATCTGGGCAACAGTCAGCAGAAGGTGCTGAGGCCCAGCTCAGCCACAGCTCTACTCTGCTTACAGGCTTGGCACACAGAGAGGCTAATTTCCTGAGACCCCTTCAGCAGCTCAATGGGATGTTGCATTCACCCTAGGAGATCTCCAAGTAAAATGCCAACAGAGAAGCAAAGAAAGCATGTGCAGAGTTCACTTGATTTTATTAAGCAGAGCCAAACTCTTAGAAATCATTTTAGATATCAGTGCTATGCTACCTAAAGGGGTAGATGCTCGAGCAAACAAGTTCCTCTTCCTTCTGCCTCCTGCTGGAAGCAAAGTGCCCTGCCTCCAGAGCCTGCTTCCACTTTCTCCCAAGGACGAACACAGGTGTCTAACCTCCCTTCAGGACTGTTCTCAGGGGAGGAGGTGGGAGGAGAGGGGCAGGGAAGCACTCTGAGTGGTTAATAAAAGCACTGTTCCAGAGACAGAAAGATATAGAGAGAGATGAAGAAGGGGGGGGAGGGAGAGAGACAGAAACAGACATGGGGATGGGGTGGGGAGCAGAAGCCTGAGGAATGATTACCACCACCAACTCTAGCGACATCACCTGCTACGGATAATGCTCAGTCTGAAAAGGGCAAAACATCTGTCTTTTGTCTCGCTCAATTCCACAATGCCTTGGGTTCTAATTTTGTCTGTTATCTCAGGGACAGCGGAATGCAGTATTTCACCTTCTGCATTCCTGAGGTGGTGAGTTAACCCATGCCAGGAAGGTAGTAGGTGGCTAGAAGGAGCAGCTGCACTCTTGCTGGGTGGTAGGCATGCGGTCTGCTGAACCTTAAACACAGACTAATTCTTAACCTGGGCACTGCTGCTGGGAGTTGAACTGGAGGCATGGTAAGTTGGGTCTGGGGAGGGCTCCAGAGGTCTGGCTTTGATTCTCAAATCTGGAGTACTTTGCTCGGGGCCACTTCCTGCCCAGCCTTTCTGCATAAGGTAAGCCCTCTTACTTTGAGTGACCAGGGCAACTGCCTGGAACACCTTCCCAGTCTATCTCCAGACAGGGCAGGGATAGATGTTGAGCATGCCAAACGGCCAGTTTCATCGTTTTTCAAATCCAAAGAGAACGTACACTATTTAACTTCTGAACAAAAACTACTCTCCTTCCCCCGGGCCCAAGCTGGTGGCTCCGGGGAGCACAGTTATCAAGAGATTACCTGGTCCCCAGAGCACAGGAGGCACTCAGCTGTGCCTCATGCCTCCACATGTCCCGAGGCAGGTGATTATCTCTCAATAACCTGTAGGGCCGTGTAGCTTAAATGATAACTTGACTTTAAAAAATTTAGAACTCGCTGTTAGGCAGTTTCTAAGCAACCTCTGTTTCCATGGCAAAGAAACCTGGTGTTTATACTGATTTTTCACTTAAAATGCGGTTTTATTGAATTTCACTTCATGCAGGCAGCCATTTCCTTGCACTTCAGCCCTAGCTACAGTTGACGGGTATCATCAGTAAGTACCTAATAAACTCCAGAGGCCAAACCAACAGGAGAGCATTCCTTCAGGATCAGTGCCGGGCTGCTCCAATGAGCCAGCTGGGGTGTGGGGGCAGAAAGTGTGCTAATGAGATCTAGGTAGCTGAATCTGGCCTTTTATCTTTGTGGTTCAGACATTTATAAGTGTCCAGTCATCCCAGACACTGTGCTATGTCTCTGTGATGCTACAAAGGTGGTTGACAAAGGCCATGGGTTCAGGAACCCATGTGCTAGGAAAGGCAGACATCATAGTGTAGTATGTATGGGTAGACCATCCTGGAGGCCCTCTGTGGGTGCAGCCAGGGAAGGATTCCCAAGGAGTATGCATGGTCAGTGGTGACTCAAGGGGCAGATAGATAGTTCCAAAGTGCTGTCTGGCTTCCATGGGCCACCACAACTCTGTAGCATGAGCACCGGATTATCTACCACCACCACCACTCCCCACTTCCCACCCAGTGGCAAAACCAAAAGAGAGCCCTGTGTTGCAGCAGCAGAGTATGTCTTCACCACTTCTGTCTAGACAACATCCACTCAAAGGTGGCTCTAGAAAACCGTAAGCCAATCAGGGTCCATCATTGCTAAACAAACTATAACCGAAGCACAAGGCTCCTGGCTTTCCTGGGTGACAGGCTATTCTTTCTCTGTCAATTACTTGCCCGAGGGATCTGATGTTCCTTGTCTCTTTCTGGATTTATAAAATGCTCTCAGGAGCTGTCAGGACAAATGACAGAGGTAAAGAACATGTGGCTCTGTGATGTTTGTCTGTTTTTTGGGGGCATCTAAGGAAGTGGTTCTGGGGTATTTCCTTAGGAGCATGGCACATACTCTTTCTACAGGGGCCTGAGCAAAAGTGACCGAAAGCACACCATTTACTAGGAAGCAAGTCTGTTCCCCTCTCCAGCAGAACAGTCACCATACCCCTTTCCCTGGCCATCTCTTCCTCCATTACTCCATGTATACCAATACTGCAAATGAGGCTGTGTGCTGCCTTTTAAACAAATGGATGCCCAGAGTGTT